AAAAAAAAAACCTCTCCCGAAAAAAAAAAAAAAAAAAAAAAGAAAGAAAGAAAGAAAGAAAGAAAAACCAGACTACGTAAATTTAACAAAATGTAAAAAAAAAAAAAGATAACTATTATCTTCAGAAAGATAAGAAATTTCACCCATGAAAATGGCAAACACTCGATGGTAGGGGGAATAACTTTTCTCTTTATCAATAATTCTTATAATAGTGATCTTTAAAAATTATCATTTGAAGCTGGGCAGTGGTGGCACATGCCTTTAGTCCAGGCACTCTGGAGGCAGAGGCAGGTGGATCTCTGTGAGTTTGAGGCCAGCCTGGTCTACAGAGCTAGTTCCAGAACAGCCTCCTCTAAAAAACAAAACAAAACATTATCATTTGAGCCTGGTGGTAGCACCTGAGAGCCTATGGCAGAAAGATTACAAGTTTGAGGCTAGCCTGGTTTATAAAGTAAGACCCTGTCTCAAAAATCAATTATAAATTATACGTGTGGTGTGTGTGAGCACATAACTTCTAAAAAAAATAAATAAATTTAAATAATCATGCCAAATGTTGGAAACAGCACATTCTAAGACCTTTAAGAAAGGTTCCTTTGTACAAGACAACCCCACATGTGCATAAACAGACATATGCACAAGCATGCACACACAGCACTTGCCTGTTTTCTTCCAGGATTTCAATTAAACTCTTGTTCAGAAACTGAAGCACTGAAAGAAAAAAGAATATAATGACAAACCAGAACTTCAAACTAGAGTTCCAGCTTCAGTACCAGAGACATTTTCAAACATCTACCAAAAATGATGCTATGGAGAAGCAGAAACTTCAAAGGAGCATGGTCTACTTCAGTTATCTGGGGTACTCTACTACTGCAAAGAAATTTGAAGGAGTCAGCTCAAAAATGCATCAGAGAAGCTGCCCCCCTCAGAGCAAAAGAAAACATCAAGACTTACCATTTTCAAGCAGATTAACAACACTTGATCTACCTGTGGGTGGGAAGATAACAATGCTAAGGAGTTTTTGCCAAAATGAACATTTACAGAAAGTGATGTGATGACCGACAGATGTTAGCCAGGAAAAGCGCTGACTTACCCAGGTTAAAGTTCTCCATGCAGGAAGATATGTTGTCGATTACTTTTCTATAAGAATGTAAGTCAGCAGTATTTAATTCTTCTTGAAGATGAGAAGTAAAACTGTGTGTGGCCTCAGTTAGAAAAAATTCAGGTAGGCCATTTAGCGAGCTGCAAAGGAGAACCAAAGGATGAAAAGCTTTTCTCACTGGGTTAAGTACAGAGGGAGAAGAAACATACAAATGTTAAACACTGAACCATACCTTCAAAGTATAGCCCCAAAGTTATACTGATATCACCCAAATTCCCTGATCTACCATTTCTCATCTGTCTCCCTGGTCCCATTTTGCTGTGTCTGATCCCCCAGGCTTCTCTCAATAAAGTAGCCAGAGCAATAGCACCATGCAGTCAGCAATTACTATGAGAAAGGTTTCAGAACCAACCAGGTACAGAAACTGGGGGATACTTGACCTCCTGCATAACATACAGAGCATTTGCATTTCACCCTGTACGTATTCTCCCATTGCTTTAAACCACCTCTAAGTATTTGTATTGCCCAGTGCAATATGAATGTTATATAAACAGTTGTTTTCTCTGTTGTTTAAGGGACAATAATAAAGAAAACAAGTCTGTACATGTTCAGAACATGACATGAGTTTGCCAAATGCTGAACACAGATACAGAGAACTGAACACCCACCTGTGATCCTCTAGCAAGCTCCACATACAGCCGTATCAATAAGCATAGCTCACCATAACCCACAAGGCCTTTCAAAACCTGCCTTTCTCCCTCACCATTAGCCCTGACTTCATCTCAATCCTTAGTCACTAATTCAATGCAGTCCTGATTCCTGAAAACTGGCAGCTAACCTTCAAATACCAAGTAATTATTACCTCAAATATTGTAGGGGAAGCCCAATTAACATCATCTACAAAACAGGCCTGCTGGTCTAGAAATCTCACTTTAGTAATTCTTACAGATGATTACACACACTTTCCATATGACAAAGAATATCACTGCAGCATTGCGGAAATAATAAAATCTAGAACATCAGATATTCATCAGTGGCAAGGATATTAAATAAAATATACCAAATAATATATATCATGGTACATGTTTTATTATAATATGGAATATGTACACTTACATAAGCACAGATAAAACATACACAAAATAAAAATGAATGTATATATTTAATAAGGGCTATTTAGACACAGAAATTCTGTTTATTTTTTTACTGAGAGAGACACATGGGTACCACAGCATACATTTGGACATTGAGAACTTGCAGGAGTTGGTTCTCTCTTCTTACCATGCAAAAAGCAGAGATCAAACTCAGGCTGTCAGGCTTAATGGGAATTACCCTGACCCACAGAGCCATCTCACCACTTCCAAGATGTTCTTTAGTGAAAAAACTAACGACAGAGTATTGTGTAGAGTATAATCCCATTTGTATAAAAATACTAAAACTAAAACATAGGATACATGTTAAATCCAAAGAAAAGGTTTCAAAAGACAAAAAAACAAAATTAAAGTGACAACCCTTTTCCTAAAGAAAATGAAACCAGGCAGAAATGGTGGAATTAAGCTTCACTTAATTTTGCAGACTTCTGTATAACTTAAATGCTTTATACGAAGCATGTAATCCTATACTATCTGTGTTAGAATAGATGGGAGAGAGAAAAGGAGCAAGATGATAGATGTAAACATCCATGTAAAAGAACTGACGCAGAAATCAGAGAGCTGAGGGCCACAGAATAAATAAATGTGCAGTTTAGTTTTTATACCCCATAACCTAAGGCTTTTTGATCTATAAAGACCAAACACATATACACAGACAGTCTAAGCGGAACTTGTACTAATATACTTTAGCTTAATTTTACAAAACACTGAATGAACTTTGCTTTCTCTTTTTCTTTTTCTAAGTGCTGGGTATGGAACCCAAGCTTCTCCCTACTAGGTAGGTAAGCACTCTCCCACTGAAGTGCATCCCCAGTTGCTGGCTATTTATGTAACATTCAAATTATCTCCCTTCTTTTCCTTACCTTGCCAAAACTTTTTTCAAGGGGTTCTTCAAAGCCAATGAAAAATAAATGCCTGCTAAGATATCCAAACAACTTTGAGTAGCAGGATCACAGACGCCATTTTTATCCACCTTCTCCAGCAGAGGCACAATCTGTAATTTAAAAAAAAAATCAAAGCAATTCTTTCTAGTATCAAATACATCAAACTAAGATGATTACGACTATTCTTTCAAGTCATTTTTCTTTTTTTTTTTTTTTTAAGGGAAGAGGGACAGTGACCTTGAACTTTTGATACTCTGGCTTCTACCTCCTGAGAGTTGAGACAACAGACCTATGTCACCATGTGTGATTTTTTTGTGTGTGTGTTTTTGTTTTTGTTTTGTTTTTTGTATTTCAAGACAGGGTTTCTCTGTGTAGCTGTGGAGCCTATCCTGGCACTCACTCTGGAGACCAGGCTGGCCTCGAACTCACAGAGATCCGCCTGCCTCTGCCTCTCTAGTGCTGGGATTAAAGGCATGCACCAACGCCTGGCTTTACCATGTCTGATTTAAGTGGTGCTGAGGAGCATCCCGTTTGCTCTGTAGACCAGGCTGGCCTCTGCCTCCCAAGTGCTGGGACTAAAGGCGTGCATCACCACTGCCCAGCTCATTGTTTTTTTTTGGTTTGGTTTGGTTTGGTTTGGTTTTCTGGTTAGTGGGCAGTACTTATACAACATTCTTTAAAAGTGAGTAATATATTTAACTGATTTCAAAGTAAGTGTGCATGTGTGGAAAATCTAAATGAGGAAATACAAATAAGTACAATCTATATTTTAAATTTAACTTCCAAATGTGCCTGCTGAAAAGTTTTAAAGATTCAAAACTAATAATAATTGTTTAAGAAATACTGCTAGCCGCCCCCTGATCATGGATGCCAATGGGGAGGCCCCTGCACTCCTGGGAGCCCAGGGAGGTGGACTGGCATTTTGCCCTGGTGTGTGGAGGAGACTTTGAGAGCCCATGCCACTTGAAGGGATGCGCTCTGTCTCTGGACACATGGGGAGGGGCCTAGGCCCAGCACAGGAAGATTTGGTGGACTTGGTGGAGCCCCTGTTGGGGGCCCTACCCTGCCTGGGGAGTGGTGGGTGGATGGGGTGGGGGGTAGGTTGGAGGTGGTGGAGAAGGAATGGGGGGGAGGGGAGGGAGAGGGGAATTACATGTGAAAAAAGCCTGTTCCCTAACTTGAATTAATAATAATAATAATAATAATAATAATGAGAAAAAAAAAGAAATACTGCTAGCCAATGGTGTCACACAACTTTAATTCCAACACTTGGGAGGCAGAGACAGACAGATCTCTGTGAGTTTAAGTACAGCCTGGTCTACAGAGAGTTATAGGACAGTCAGGGCTACACAGTGAAATCCTGTCTCAGAAAACCAAAAAGAAAAAAATAATTTTTTTATAAAAAATAGTGGGCTGGAGAGATGGCTCAGAGGTTAAGAGCACTGGCTGCTCTTCCAGAGGGCCTGAGTTCAATTCCCAGCAACCATATGGTGGCTCACAACTATTTGTAATGTGATCTGATTCCATCTTCTGGTGTGCATGAAGAGAGGTCACTCAAAAAATAAAATAAATAATTTTTTTAAGAATTATACATAATTATGTCCTCTCTATTCATAGTCCCAGTGATGGCAGAAGTTGAGGTATTTTCCATTGCTGCTCTAATAAACAGAAAAAGAAAAACTAGCCGGGCGTTGGTGGCGCACACCTTTAATCCCAGCACTTGGGAGGCAGAAAGACAGGTGGATCTCTGTGAGTTCGAAACCAGCCAGGTCTACAAGAGCTAGTTCCAGGTCAGCCTCCAAAGCCACAGAGAAACCCTGTCTTGAAAAACCAAAAAAAAAAAAAAAGAAAGAAAAACTATCGTTTGGTGATAAATAACTGAAGCCAAAAACTGTCAGACATTTTTTAAAATCTGTAACAGCATGATAATACTCAAGACACAACCATGAACAAAAAGGCAGCTTTACCTGTTTAACAGATTGGATTTGTGACACTCCATCCGTGAGCTGTACACAGTGTAACAGCAAAGAGGCTAGATTTGTGCCTTCCACATCAGCAAAAGCTAAGGAACACAAACAAAAATTTCAATATTGTAACTACATGTGGATTAATAGTACCTTTCTCATACAGTCCACCAAACTGCTAAGGAGATAAACCAGAGCCCGTGAGACAGATTTGCCACCAAGCTTGAGCCTGAGTTTGATCCCCAGAACCAAGGCACTGGAGGGAGGAGAAGAGCCAGCTCTCAAGAGTTGTCCTCTGACCTCTACAACTGTGTCAGGGCATATGCATGCCCACATAGACACATACTGTCCTGGTTTGCTTTCTACTGGTATGATAAATACCATGACCAACAGCAAACTGAGGAGGAAAGGGTTTATTTTATCTTGCAACTCCCAGGTCATGGTCCATCATTAACCGAAGTCAGAGCAGGAACTCATGGCTGGGACCTGGAGGTAGGAACCAAAGCACAGACCATGGGAGCAACCTTGCTTACTGGTTGTTTCACGTGGATTACTCAGCTGGCTTGTATTATACAGCCCAAGACCACCTGTCCAAAGGTGGCTCTGCCTACAATGGGCTGGACCCTCACACATCAATCATTACTCTTGCCCACAGGCCAATCAGATGGAGGCATTTTCTCAACTGAGCTTCCCTCTACCCAGATGACTCTAGCATATGTCAAATTGACAAAAAAAGTAACCAGGGCATAAACATGCATGTTCGAACATACGTGTGCATGTGTGTGTGTACATGTGCATGCACACACAGATAAATAATAAAGAAAACTAGATGTAGAGGTGCTGGCATTAACAGCACTGGCTGCTCTTGTAAAGGACCCAGGTTCAGCTCTCAGCATCCACATGGCAGCTCACTACCCTCTATAACTACAGTTCCTGGAAATCTGATGCCCTCTTATGACCTATGTGGGCTTCGGGCACATATATACATGGGGCACATACATACATACATACATAGGAGAACTCAGTCTAAAGACAAATAATATTTAACAAAACTATTTATCCAAAACTAAATGCTGGGGGTGGGGGAGGAAACCATGGAAAACTTAAACAAAAAGAATTTCAACATTATATTATTCTATAGGGTCCTAGAGATTCAATGATTCTGCTTTGCAAACTTACAAATTTTTTCACTAAACAAGCAAAACTTAAAAGTCACGTACATCTCAAAGTTTCCAGGTCCTGATGGCAGACAGTCACTGCAGCAACCTGCACTTCTCTTTTCTTCTTCACGCCCATTTTAGACAGGAGAAACAGCAGTCTCTGTAAGAAAGAAGAGCTTAAGACACTGGTCCAGTGGAGGGTTTCTCCTGTGACACTGACATCTGGGGCCATATGACTTTGTTGAGGATGCTGTCCTGTGCAGTATAGGATACTTGAAGCTTCCCCAGACTCTACCCCATTAGATGTCAGGAGCATCTTACTACCAACGTGTTAAAGACAACCAACAGGTGTCTCCCAACAGTGCCACTGTTAGAAGGCACAACTGCCCCAGGCTGAGACCCACTGAACTGAGGATATCTGGTTTACAAAAGAAAACCTGTAGGCTTTTTGTTTGTCTAGCATTTTTGCTGCTATTGTTTGAAATGGGGTCTTGCTATACAGTCCGTAAAATAGCTGCCACTTTGATGGAGAGATTTCCTTTGTCCTACTGAAGGATTAGAAAGTCAATAAAGCATCAAGGAGACGGGGTCCAATAAAGTCAAAGGAGACCTCTGTAGTCCAATGAGAAATGGGCTACCTTCAAACAGACTCTCCTTGACAGAACCTCACTCAATAAATCACCACTCCCCCCCCCCCCCCCCCCCGCCTCTGAAAATTCTTGTCAATCATCAAAAAATTGTTTTAAAAACAAAGTCTAAGAAGGCACTTGCTTATAAACTTCTCAAGGGTTTCTGATAGTGCTAAATGTAATTTATTAATTATTAATATTCATATCTGGGTATTGGAATTCAAGGTATTCATTTCAAACCAATCTACTCTGCTACCTTAAGAGCTCTCACTGTCCCCGATGCTCTTATTATGAGATTTCCAGATCTACCTGTTAACATCCTGTCCTACACAAATGGCAAGAACTATTTCTAATTATCCAAGTTTGTGACTGAATGCCACCCAAGACCTTTATGTAACTTTACCTAAGATGCCATCACTCTGATACACACACCACTTCCATTATTTCTTTTGCAGCATGAATTACTACCTAACATTACACTCACTTGCAAACCTGTATATTGTTTTCCCTAGTAGTAAATAACATGAAGGTGGCAATTTTAATGACGTGTCTGGTGTTTTAATTCCCAACTCCTTCGCCATTCAGGCATGTAGATGCTTTTATTAACATTTGCTGGACAAGACCAAGGAATTAACTTTTCCTGGAGACATTCTAGAAGGGACAAATGGAAGAAGGGCGGACCACCTGGTACCTAAAGTGTGTGCAACAGCTAAGGTCCGGGCTGTCACTGATACTAACGAATCCACAGTCCTTTTGGACAAGTCACTACAGCAAAGGCAAGTGAGCAGCCCACCAAAAGGTTAAGAATGGACTCAGCTACAAAGACAACAGGGGACGAATTTGTAGGTTAGGTTTAGGGAATAATTTCCTAAACGAGCAGCCAGCGTACAAAGTGAGAAGAAGGTGGTACTGAGGAAGGAGACTGCGGGGACGATTCTGGTAAATGGCAAGTTTGCAAAAAAAAACAGATTCGGAGATTCTGCGTGTGTTCCTGGTGAAGTGTGCTTCCCCAGGGCGGAGAACCCGCCCCCGCCCCGTCCAACCTGGTGACTTTCTGCTCGTGGGTACCACTGACTGCCTCCCTCCCATCCACATCTTTCCCATGCCCACGTGGGGTCCGAAGAATGACAGCATGACTGACAGACGAAAAAGTGGTTAAAGGGCCGTCTCCATGGAGACCTAAGCCACCAAAGCCACCGGGCTGGCACCCTCGGGAGGCCCTGAGAGCCGGCCCGGCCGCGATGAGAAGAGTCGGTCCCACGCGCCCGCGCGCCCGGCAGGCGGCACGCCCTCGAGCCAAACCTCGTGCCCGGGGCCGTCTGCAAAGAGTCACCGCCTCTCAACGAGCCCCGGAAGCCCGTCTAGTCTACGGCGTCCCGGCGGCGCGTGGAACGTGGTTCGCAATCCACAGCCGGTGCGGCAGCAGCGATACAAGCAAGCAAACCGGGAGCTGGCAAGGAAATATCGCGAGCGGCAGCTCCTCCAATAAGAAGCGCGGGAGGGTCGTGACGTCATCAGAGAGGGCGTCTGCGACTGGGTTTGGACAGGCCGCGGCGTCAGAGTTGTGCATCCGTGGGCTTGTGATCCGTGCTGATGCACTCTACCCATGCTTTACCTTTTTCCAGGTGGCAGGGCTGCAGCCTGCACACCCCTAGATGTCAGGCCACCATTTCTGTCTCAACCCAGACTTCCTTTTTAAAGATTTATTTATGTGCTCTGCCTGCATGTATGCCTGCAAGCCAGAAGAAGTCAACGGATCTCATCTTGGTTGTGAGCCACCATGCGAATGCTGGGAATTGGACTCAGAACCTCTGGAAGAGCTGCCAGTGCTCTTAACCTCTGGGCCATCTCGGTGGATCTCATCTTGGTTGGGAGCCACCATGCGGATGCTGGGAATTGAACTCAGGACCTCTGGAAGAGCAGCCAGTGCTCTTAACCTCTGAGCCATCTCTCCAGCCCCCAACCCAGACTTTCTTTTTTTCATATTCATTTATTTATTATGTGTTCTGCCTGCTCGCCAGAAGAGGTCAACAGATCCCATTACAGATGGTTGTGAGCCACCACCAACCATGTGGGTGCTGGGAATTGAACTCAGGACCTCTGGAAGAGCAAGCATTCAGTGCTCTTAACCTCTGAACCATGTCTCCAGGCCCCCAACCCAGACTTTCTACACTCACTGTGCCCAGAAACAGGGTAAAAACTACCCACAGGCTCGGTTGAGCCTGGGAGTGAAGTGAAGCCACCAACAACAACTTGAACTCCACCATCTGGGCCTTGAAAGCTGCCTTAGAGGGTGGATCTTTTTACACAGCTCTCAGTCCAGTCCTTAAAAATGAGTAAGAACTGGAGACCTATGATGGCAGCAGTAGCTGGGGCAAGGGACAAGACTGGAGAACGAACAAGATACTACATCTTGAGGTGCATTCGTTGGGGAAAACAGTGAAAAATGGGTTCATCGAGTGGATGCTTTACGCCTTTAATTTTTTTTCTCGATTTTATATTACTGTGCTTTGTATTTCTTTGTTGTTTTGCCACGTGTATCACTAAACAATAGCTTGTCATGTTTGGTTTTGTGTATATTATCCACCGATTCACACCTTTTTGCTTTGCTTTTCAGGTCACTCACCTAAAAAATGGGTGGTGGTAAATTCTTTGGTTGATTGTTAATATGTCATTCTCTACTGTACTACATGTAGGGAAAAGGAGCCAGCCAAAGAAAAACACCCTGAACAGAGCCAAAGAAACACACTTTGGCCCTGCAACCAGAACCAAAGAAATGTACCCTGGCCTTGAAACCAGTGTCAAAGAAACACACTTTGTCCCTGGAATCAGAGCCAGTGAAAGAGAAATTTAGAGCCAAAAGGCTAAAAAGGACCAGTGAAAGAAACACACTTTGGCCCTGAAACCAGAGACAAATCTGACCCTAAACCTGTGCAGAAAACTAACCAATCCCTGAGCACAAGATCTAGCCAGTCTGAGCTCAGGGATTGAAATGTGACCAATCTCCACCCTGGAAAAACTCTGCCCCCCCCCCAAGAATCCCTATATAAATCCTGTGCCTGTTCAGCTTGTGGCCGTCTGGCTGCTTCCTTCCACCCTGATAGAGGCAGCCACTCTCCTGGATCTCCCCCCGGCCCCAATAAATCTCTTGAATGAGGTATGAGGTTTGGGTGGAATCTTCCTTCGCAGGAATGGAGCAGAGGAGAGAAGTAGCAACTTTTCACTGGAGCCAGAGCAAAGCCTAGCCGAGCAGAGCCAGCCGAGCATGGCTGTAACACTTTCCCTGGGGAAAAGTTACCCCAGCCAAGTGGAGTTGTTACACTCTGGGGCTGGAGCGTAACTGTAACAACTTTGCTGGGCAAGACCTCCCCTGCCAGAGCAGAACTGTTACACGGGGGAAGCCTTTCCCTAGAGCAAGGATGTAAACTGCTATGCTTACTGTGACCTGTGGTATTCCTTGGATCCCCAGTGCCAGAATCCCTGTCCATCCCATCCGATCTGATGCTTACGCTACATTTATGCATTCGTGCTAGTTAGTGCTTCTGGACATTTGCGCTGGAGGATTCCCAGATTAGAGAGAGAAAAAAAATATCAGACATAGCAATGGATAGGGAAGCAGTACATGGAAAAAGCATGTGGGTTGAAAGTAGGATGAGTAGCTGCGGGGGAGGGGAGCCTGTGAACTGGAGCAGCCTGGGAATTTAGGGTAGAGGAGGAAGTGAAAAGAGCCAGGATGCTAGTCTGGACTCTGAGATGCATGCTTTGGTATACACCATAGGTACTCATCAGTAGGGAGCCAGGTATCTCATTTGCCAGAGGCAGGGGAAATAGGGGAAAAGGCTCTTTTTCCATCCTGACAGATGGAAATGGTTTCACAAGTTCCTGAGGAATGCTGGAAATGTCAGCCAGCAATCCTACAGCCCAGCAAGAGTTGAGCCAAGACTGTCATTTGGGACCAAGTCAGTGGGCCTGCTCTTTGAGTTGCCTGGGGTGGTTCTGACAACAGCAAACTACTGATACATTCTAGGGGTCCTGAAATGATATGGCCTATGTGTCTGAGTTGGGTTCCTTTTCTCTGCCAATTAAAGAATTAAAAAGCAGAAGTCTGGAGCACAACAGGTAGAAACAGAGAGCTCTCAAACATGGCAGACAGAGTCAGCAATTGAAGAAAATCCCTGCTCTCTGATCAAAAAAATATGGGGATCCCTGGGGACAGTTAGTTACTGGTGGCCATGAATAACGAAATTTTCTGAGATAGCCAAATCCCTCTATGTCAGCACTGGGGTAGTACCCAGCCTTAGGAATGGACTGAGACTGAGCAGAGGTCCTTCAAAGCCTTGAAAAAGATCCGGGTGTCTGCCCCAGCCCTGGTCCTTCCAGACATTACTAAGCCATTTCACTTGTGCATGGATGAGGCCAGAGGCATTGTCCTCATACAAACCCTGGGACCCTTGGAAGGACTTGATCTGGTCAGCAGTTATAAAGGCCACTACTGCCACCACCTTGCTGGGAAAAGAATCTGACAAATTATCTTTAGGACACAGACTTCCTGACACCCCCACATACTGTTGAGGCCCTTTGGGGGGCACCCGAGAAATGGATGTCTAGTGCCCAGGTGACCCAACAGCAAGCCCTGCTTCTGGATCAACCTCACATTTGGTTCCACAAACCGTCAGCCCTCAACCCTGCCTATCTCCTTCCTACCAGACAACGACTCCTCAGATCCCACGAATGACTGTCATGATTTTACTGCCTGATTTGATTGACTGGAGAGTGGGAAGAAAATTTACAAGTAGGAGATCTCCTGAGCAAATTGGGAGCTGGGGGGAGGGGAGAGGGAACTAGGAGAATGAGAAGGGGAGAAGAGGAGGGGTGAGGAAGACATGATGGGACAGGGAGGGTGAGTTAGGGGAAGAACAGAAGAGAGCAAGATAAGAGATAATATAATAGAGGGAGACATTATAGGTTCAAAGAGAAATCAGGCACTAAGGAAATGTCTGGAGAGCTACAAAGATGACACCAACTAACAATCTAAGCAACAGAGGAGAGGCTGCCTTAAATGCCCTCTCCTGATAATGAGATTGATGACTAATTCATATGCCATCGTATAGCATGCAGCAGCTGGTGGAAGTAGAAGCAGACACCCACAGCTAAACCTTGAACTGAACTGAAATCCAGATGCAGAGAAGGAGGATTGATGAGCCAAGGGGTCCATACCAGGCTGGTGAAACCCACAGAAACAGCAGACCTGAACAAGAGAAAACTCTTGGTCCCCAGACTGATAGCTGGGAAACCAGCATGGGATTGATCCAGACCCCCTGAATGTGGGTGTCAGTGAGGAGACCTTGGAAATCTATGGGGCCCCCTTGTAGTGGATCAGTACTTATCCCTAGCATAGGAATGGACTTCAGGAGGGATACTCCCTGATCCTAGACCCAAGGGGGTTGGCCTAGACTCTATCCCAAAGAATATGACAGACTTTATTAGACCCCCTATGGAAGGCTTCACCCTCCCTGGGGAGCAAAAAGGGTATGGGATAGGTAGGGCGTTAGTTGGGGAGGGGGGAGAGAAGGGAGAAGAGGAGGGAGAGGGACCTGGGATTGACATGTAAAATAATTTTCTTTCTAATAAAAAAGAAAAGAAAAGAAAATTTACAAGTAGGGCTAGGAAGACATTTCAAAGGATAGGATAGGGGTGGGAAGGAAAAAAAAAAGAGTCAAGAGTGATTCTCAGATTTCTGGCCTAAGCGATGGGTGGATAAAGTTGCATCTGTGGAGAGGTAGTGGCAGAAGTTTATTTGGAGCAGGTTTAAAAAAATATATGAGAGAAAAAGAAGAGGAACTGTCCAGACAAAATAGAGTGACCCTTTGGCTCTTCAGAAGTAGAACCTGCACATTCAAAGAGCTACAGATGAAGAACATTTTGGAGGCAGAAAGACGAGTCCACAATGAAATAATGCACACTTTATTATTCCCTAAACAATATGGTAGGGCAACTCTTTGCATAGCATTGGATTGGGTATTATATGTCATCTAGAAGTGGTTCAAACTGCATGGGTTCTGTCGAGATACTGCCGTTCTAGATACTAGATGCAGAGCCCTTGGCAGCCTCAGATTTTGACATTGTTTTGCAGGGAGAAGTCCTAAAATAAATGCCTTAAAAATACTGTTTATTTATTTACTATAAAATAAATAAAAACTCCTGGTATTTATGAGCAAAAGAGCAGATAAAAAGAAGAGTGACTCCTAGAGAAAGTGAGGACAAGAAAAAGTTTGATTTTAAAGGTTGAAATCATAATAATTTGGAGAAAATAGTCCTGTTTTGGGTGGGGACCTCTTTGCTTTTACAAGCTATAACTGATTTAAAAATATTTGCTTTAGGTTTTTCAAAACCCAGTAGCATGAATCTGAATCATAAGGTTTTGTTTTGTTTTTTGGAGTGT